CGTCAGAATTTCTTTCAATCTTCTAAAAGCAAAATTTCATCAAACATAGATACTCTACCCTAACTTCCTGTATTTTTTACTATCTATTTACAGAATGAAGGCTTTATGCTTATAGAAATACCCAAAATGGCCACCATAAATCCCTTATCATTACCCTCATAGAAACAAAGTCACGTATCTCATCAAAAGTTGAAATATCTCCTTTGATGAAGTACATTTCATTTTTATTTTATCAGTACATTTCATTTTTATTTTACAATATATTGGTATATGAGAATTTTTCACTTTTTGCAGATAAATTTAAGATGGTATGTTTATTTAAGCCAATTATTTACAAGTTACTTCACATTCATAAGCATGTACTTGGACCATTGTATTTTATAGCATAACAACTATGTTGTCAAAGTACATGTCTATAATAACATCATTATCTATTTATTTGTTTATCAAAAGAAGCTCAAAGGTTTTGTACAATAAAAATTCCGATTCCATGCAAATTTCACTTCATGAAATCAAAGGTAAACTCATATTTTTTTTAAACTTCAAACAACATTTATGTAACAGATACTAGTTTCATTTATTACATTGGTGCTTTAGTTACCTCCGCCAAGGAGGCTATGTTTTCACCCCTGTTTGTTTGTTTATCTGTTTGTTTGTCATCAACATGACTCAAAAAAGTTATGGATGAATTTGAATGGAATTTTCAGGGTAGGTCAAAAATGGGTTAACTTAGAAGTGTTTAGTTTGTGGTGGTGATCTGGATCAATAATCAATAATAAAAAATAAAAGAAAAATTAAGATTCGGACCGATTTTGGTGAAATTTTCAGGATAGTCAGAAGTGGGCCAAGGAACAGTTGATTAGTTTTTGGTGGTGATCCAGATCAATAATCAATCAATAATAAAAAAAAACTAAATCATTATAGAATGAAAATTTAGGGGTGAAACGGCATTGGGTGGAGACTTTACCGCCTTGGCGGAGGTCTGCTCTCTTGAAGTGCTTTTCTAGTTTCAATTTATTTTTGGGAATACAGATGGTAACCACAACTATGCATTTTGCTGTTTAGCAGTTTATTATGTCCCATATCATTAAGTCTAGTATGCGAAGTTTTATTGCTGCTAATTTGCAGAAAATTGCAGCAAATTTGCAACTGGCCTGATATTTTGGCAAGGGTAAAGCTCATAAAGTACAGAAATAAAGAGCATCCTCAGTTGGGAGGAGAAACATAAGATCTGCTTTGCAAGAAGCAAATATGCAGGGCCTTTTGTCATATCTAAAGACCCAAAAATCCATATAGCTGTACACAAATCATGCGCGCCTCTTCCATAATACCATGTACAGTAACTGTAAGGGGGTGATATTCCCCTCCATGCTGGAAAAGATTACAAAATGCCAAGCATTTGCACTTCCCATGCTTATAAGGAGAGTTGATGAAACTACGCCCAGTAAGCTCATTAACTGTACTCAAATCACATTATAAGTGCTTCATGTAAGACAAAGATCAATGTGTGAATTGGAAGAAACCTTCCAATTTTTGCAACCTGCAGTGACCTTTATGTATGGCTAGTTTCTGAGGAATGTACCCATGAGTAATATTCTTAATGAAATACCCTAATACTAAATGCTCTAAGTCTCCAATCCACTGTAACACCATGTTTCCTCAGGAGGAATCTGAGCCGCGACGGATCCTATAGTTTCCACTCTCCTTTGGGAAAAGAAAATCTGATCACCAAGCACAAAAAGATTTTTCACCCATGGGCAATGTACTGAAGGAACCATAACATAAGGTACTTAAGATGTATTATTTGGACACGTGGATCTTGTCCCTGTATCTACTATGCTGATTTGAGCTGGTGAAACCTGTGGAACATTTTGTATCCTTCCAAGGCAGCAGGATGGTGGAGGATTCATAATGTTAAGAGATGGATACACACATGACCACAGATTGTCCTTGGTTGTTATCCCATGACCCTTTAATAGTGTTAGATACAGGGAAGAAGTATTGTTCAATGTAGTGTCCCTACATATTCAGGTGCACATCTAATAGCAACTCATTTTTATGAACAAAAAAGGCATGCCCCCACAGAGAACTACAAAACTGCTAACAATTTCATGGTTACTTTGGTATGGCCAGCAGCTTCTCCAAGCCATATTCCAAAAGATAACTGTCAGGACAGCATCCAGAAGTGTAAAAACATGTTATAGTTGGAGAGAGCTTGTCAGGAATGATGGATGAACATTCCACAGCAAAAATGTCAAACACAGGAGATGTAATGAAAAGTTAACATAAGCCTTTTTTTTATTTGTGATCCAAAAAATTCATACAAGAAAAGAAGAATTTCATCAGCTGTGTTAAGTTATAAGAATGATGTGAATTTTTCTTCAGCCAACAGCTAATATTGAGATAGGTTTTACCTCCAATATTTCGATGTCTATCAGGACATCTTCTTCAGGGAATGAGGCTATCCAGGTGAATAGCCTCTACTCAGGAGGTGTACTTACCCCCCCCCCTCCCATTTAAAAATTAAAAAAAAAATACAACATTAACTTGTACAACAAAGCAGGGTTCACCATCAGGAATGCAGTAGTAAGTCCCAAAGACCCATTAGACAACAATGAAAAGTGTCGAGTTGTCTATAAAATGGAATGTGAGGGGTGTGGTGAGAAATATATAGGCAAAACGGGAAGATCAGTGTCGGAGAGAAAAGCCGAACACCAAAAATCGGTCAATAATAGAGACAGCAAGTCAACATTAAGCCAGCATGAGGAACAATCCGGACATAAGGTATCAAATGGTCCTATAATAGACAAAATCAAGGTGATTGACTGTGAGCCAAGGGAAAATTACAGAAAAGTCCTAGAAGCCATCCACATCAAAAAGACAGGGGCCAGTCTCAACAGAAATGATGGTGCCATCCTCCCTGACCTCTACCTACCTTTCCTAAGACAATAGGGGGGAGCAAGTACATCTATCCCTGTGGGGAGTCTCACTAGATTACTGTCAGCTTTGCCGGCTTAAGCGTCTGTCCCGCATACTAAAAGCTGTAAGGGGGTAATAAACTATGGTGCGCGCTCCGCTGACTGCAATTTAGCATGAACCCCAGGGAGTTAGGTCGATCTAAATCTAAATCTCTGGATCGATCTAAATCTCTGGGAATGCACCCTTAGAAACATCAACAAATAAATCGTTTACTGGTCACTATGTGGACTTGGGTTTTCTTTGTGCGACCTTATGTAAATTAAGCCAGGAATTTTTAGATTGCATTATCCACTAAGTTATTCGAAATCGTAATGTCCTATTTCAAGCCCACACTTGAATTAAGCATCCTAAATTTTTAAAGTTTACGACATTCACTCCATATATAAAGAAAAGTTCATTATATGCCATCTAGAAATGACAAGTGTTTGATGTCATCTTTAAAACCTATATCACTGCCACCTGAAAAATATACTTCATTAAATAAGAGTTATCAACTATCAGTAAAGTACACATGGTACCATTGATTTGTAAGGGTAAGGGGTATATGTCAGCCACATTGGATTTTTTTCTAATGAAAAAGGCCTAATCATATTCTTTACAGATATTAAAATGTAGGAAATATTTAAGAGAATTTATATTTCTTGAAATATTGCTTTTACCATGGTTGAAATAATTTCTAGATTATAGAACATGTGCCTCAGTTGCGAAAATTGGTAAAATAATGGCAGCCATCTTGGATAAAGAAGCCATATTGAAAAAAAGATATGTTCTTAGCTTTACCTTTGAAAATAAACAATTGTCCTTTACCAATAAATTGCAAAGGGAACATGAAATATACTTCATTAAAGAAGATATTTGATCTTGCAAATAAGGTGGATGCTGTGTGCACCTTTAGGCCATAACGGTCGGGGTGCATGGTAGCCATGTTGGATTTTTTCTAATCATAAAGCTTCATACTGTACAGAGAGAGGAAATACAGGTCATACTGTACATAATTTATATTTGATGCTGTGTTGCTTCTCTCATGATTGAAAGTAATTCTAGATTAAATAGAACATGACTTAACTGCAAAAATTGGCAAATTTTTCGCCGCCATCTTGAATAAAGCAGCCATCTTGGGTCAAGACACCATCTCAAATTTACCTTTAAAATTTAAAACAATTGACCTATACCTGCATATTGTAAAATAAAAATAAAATATGCTTCATTTAATCAGGTATTTCAACTTTGAAAAAGATATACATTGTGCTTCTGACTCATAAAGGTGAGGGGTGTGTGGCGGCCAAATTGGATTTTTCTCTTGATCAAAAAGCCTCCATAGTGTATGCAGACAACAGAAATGTGTGAAATATTATAGAAAAGCTATATATGATGACAGTTTGCTGATATCATGATAAAAAGCAATTCTAGATTGAAGAAAACATGACTTAATTGCAAAAATTAGTGAAATATTGTCCGCCATCTTGGATGAAGCGGCCATTTTGAATCCAGTTGTCAAATCATTGCTACAGATCACCAGGAAGTACATATTTCCACAATATATACACAATAAAAGTATTCTACACTTCAGCAAAGAAATAGTATTAATCACTTTTCATAACTGATGCTAATTCTATGTATTTACCATGGATGGCGGCCATCTTGGATTTTTGGGCACTTTCGCAATTGAGCCCATTTGTCCAATAAGCAAATTCATAAACCCCAGGTATCAGGCTCTCCAACGATATGTTCGAAAATTTTATATCATTAAATTTTTTTTACTACCCTTTTTTGAAGGCTTTTGGAGTTTGGCTCCCCTACTACATGACAAGATCAAAACTTTAAAGGAACTGAACTTTCCATCACTAACAACATGCTTAAGTTCTTGCTTTTACTTTTTTGCTACCACTGAAATATTAGTCACATAACTAAAATATGATAATAAACCCTGGCATGTTGTTCTTTTAAAAAATGAAAATTAGCTAGCTCATACTGTCTGAGACTATGCAGTATTTTCTTAAATCTACACTATAATCTATTACCTCTATCCTAGGTGGATTTCTGACACTGATATTGTCCAGCACCATGACTTGTGAGGCATCAAGTATAGCAGCCTGATACAGGTTCTCCCTTTCAATTGGATTGCCCTGTAACATCATAATATGGGACTTTACAATAGGCAAAGGAATTTAGGAAAGGAATACAGGAATATATGCACACAAAAAATGACTATATAACTTAAACAATAGCAATCCAATTGGGCTGGAATTCAAACTAGCATTTTAGTCCTACAAATCTTTAAGAAGAATACCTTGTCACATTGTGTCTGCCCATAGGCAGTATACTGTAGTTATGTAAAATGAGAAATGTATTAGGGTGTAGTAAACACATATAAAATTAAATATATAGGGCATTATCTAAGTGATGCACCAACCCATCAGTATACATGTAGCTGAGGTATATTTGCATGCTGACTTGGTAAAATCACAACTGGCATCTTGCATGGGCAGACTTCATATCTAGACTGCGTGACATGCAGTATATATGCATAAAGATATGTTCACCCCAAGCTGACTACTGTAACAGCTAGGCATAGACCGCCTTCACATTCAAACGTCATACCAGCTGGATCGATCCAATTATGTGGAGGATTTTGGATAAAGTGCATTCAGTGGACTCAGCTTAACTGTCTCCCTGAGTATCTAGTTTTAACTAGTTAAAACTACTTAAAAATTATCTGCCTGCAACTCTGGGATGCGTGTCAGACACAGACTGCACTTAGGGAGAATCACCCTTAGAGTTGGATCCAGCTAGTATGAAGGGTTTATCTGAATGCTCTCAAATACTGTACATGACTTACATGTAAAGTTATAGACTGTAACTTGTGCAGATGTCTCAGCACCTCCCCTGTGGTCTGCAGGGCAGAGATATGGTTGTCTGCAGCATTCAGGATTATCAGGTTTCTGGAGCTCAACAATGGAACAAGATCAACCTGGAAAGGGAAAAGCTTTCCTCATTCAGATTTATAACAACATGATATTAAGGCATTTGTATCAGAACTACCAGTGACTTAGTATTTGTATCAGAACTACCAGTGACTTAGAATAGGAACTGACATTAGGAAATATTTACATGATATAGTGACAACAATGTTTCAAGCATGAGATCAAAACTTTAACCTTTTAGACTCACTCCAAGCAGAAGACAGTTAAATAACTTTCTCAAAATAAATAAATAAATATTAATAATAATAAAAATATAAAAAACAACAGTAGTAATAAATTGAAAATAAAATTATAATACTAATAAAAATCTTACTATTAATGCCTCACATAAATGCATTTAACATTTTTAAAAGAACCTTTTACTTGAGGATCAATATGCAGAAAAAAAAAACAACTAACTTTACTATCAAATCACAATCATATCATAAACATTTACTTTCATTAAGAAACCAAATAGGAATTACAGAATATAACATTTTGACAAGAATTATGTCTTACAATTTGATTCCTCTGTACATACAGCTCTCTCAGCCTAGCCAAGCCTTGTACTCCATCCAAAGACTTGAGCTGAAAAGAAGTCAATTATAATATTGTTTTCATTTTCTATTTCTCATTAAAGGTATCTCAACTTTCAGTTACTTTTAGCTGATGTAGAAATATGTGTAAACTGTAAATCCAAAAACATGCTTGCAAACTTTGTGGATTTAGAAATTTAATTCAACTGAATCTTATTCTGTATCATATGTCCGTTTTTTCCCAAGTAAAATAATATCAATACATGAGAAAATGAACATGAAAAACATAATTATACTTTAAGCATGCCTCTATGAAAATCAAATTACATGAGTCACACATGCAACATACCACAGAGAGACAGACATACACATTGAAGTATTAACACCAGGGGAATATGTGCTCTTATTCTAACATATTAGCCTACAACTGATGATTATTTGTCTGGAAGATCATGTGCTTTACACACACAAATGTTTTGCCATTTGTTGAGTCTGAATCTCCAGGTCCACTTTTTAAATGAGCTTTTAATATAATACATTGTCTGATAAATCAACAAAAAAAGATATCTGATTTATGAAAAGTAATAAATGTACATCTGCTGCAATCTGCGTTTTAGATTTCTTTCACCATATTATGTAAGAAAATGATTTTGTTGAGGTTGTTAATTCAATAACAGTAACAACAGTAATCTGATATCTAACTTGGTAACAGAAAATAACACAGTCCCAGAAAATGAGAATTAAAATCAAAGTGACACTGTGCAAATGTAGCTTCACCATGAATACAAATGAGGTGCTTTTTGAGATACATGTATGCATCTTAATAAGAATTCAGGCTACTGCTTTTTGCAAACAAACACACACACACACTTGTGATTAAAGCCAGTGAAGAAATACATTTGATGAAAAAATAACCAATTTAAAGGGATATGTTATTTTCAAGATGTTATATTCACCATTAAAATTACCACAAGACAATTTCATCACAAAGGTAAAACAACAAGTCTACAAATATATATATAAATTCATGCCCACATGCCACATTTCTTTTAAGGTACTAATCAAAATACTTGTCCTCATTACTAGATTGAAAAATACACTTTACTACCAAAATATATAAATTACATACATTATAATTAGACCACATGCTATCAAAGTAAAAAATAAACTTTAATATTTTCTTGATTTAATCAGGGGCACGAGTCAGAGGCAGCCATGCATACAGATTACTGGATAATAAATGGGCAGTGCTAAGTTCTACGGTATGCTCAGTCTGCTGTCACATGCAAGACTGATGAAAGACTTGATTGCATACATGTACATAGACAGTAGGAGATAACAGCTGGCATGACTGTATCACAGGTGAAAAGGTTTTAGTGGCACAGAGAACAGAGAACACAAAATGATCATTTGGAAAAGGTATTGTGATATCATTTTACTCTTTTTAACTAGCGTTACCTTGATTAGCTGTTTTAGTTGTTTTCCTGGTTGGCTAAAAACATTTACATTTTGATTTAATGTTATATTAGATAACGTTTGTACAGTGTACTCTTAGTACTGGCATGGAACCCAATGCACAGAACTAGGATCCAAGATCCATCTTTGATCCTAGCATATAAGAATCTTTCAGTGAACTTTAAACAAACCTTCAGAAATTAAAAAAAGGAACAAATCAGCAACAATCAAATATTAACTATTTTATAGACTATTATCAATACCCCCAAAAGTCCAAATTTGATGATAAAGATATGAAGCTGATTAATGGACTAAGTTCCTTAACTGAAAATAAGATCCTGTAACAAACTGTAATTTGGAGAAATTGGTCAATAAAATAGTCTATTGGCACACTGTATATGCACAGCCTTTGGTACTTACATATATTCATGATGCTTCAAAAGTTAGTAAGAAGAATAGGGGACCATATTTGTTCAATATTTAAGATAGTTCTGTTTTTTATAGTCACAATATGACTTAAATAAGGCATTTTCAATGAAGTACATTTCATCTGTCAAATAAATAAATATCAAAAACAGAAAATAAAAAACACCAAAATTCCAGATTATGTATTAAGGCTGCAATTGACATAGACCACAATAAATTAGTGGTCGCACCATCAAAATTAATTAAAAAAAAAGCGAAGTTTAAATCGTACCTTACATTAAACATTAAAGCAAGAGTACTCTAACAAAAAATGCCATTCCAATCCACTTCAACTATTATTCATCCTAGTAAACTTCTTCTGCTTTTAAAACTGACAGAATATCAATACATTACACAATATATCACTGTACCTAAGTCTATAAACTTCACTGAAAGCAATTCCTAATTACTTTTCTTAATTAACACAAGGTCTCTAAGGGGAGTTCAAAGTCATTAAGAACAAAGGCACTTCAGAAGCACACTGTTGCTATACACAACTTACAGCCCCAATGCATTCTCAACTGGATGTTCAATTAAATAATTAAATAATTCATGTCTTTTATAGCATTCCTTAGTCACTGTAGCTAATTAACAAAACCCCTCAATATTCATTTCTCATTTTCATTTACTTTACTTACAGGATAGTTATTAATGTTAATATATGGTAATTAAAATACCAATTTATTATAATGGATATACTTCAGTCTTTTAAATATGTTGAACTTAATTTCTTTATATCATTTGATTTATTTCTTTAAAATAAAATTGAATATCTTATGAAGTACATCTTTCTAAAATAGGCCTAAACATGAGACATCTAGAGCCCATTAAAAAGCAACTCACAAGTAAAGCACTGTTACACTATAAGGGTATCACCATATTTCATGTTGCTAGCGAGTCACTATAAACATACATGTACACGCAATGTTCAATTTGCCACTGAAGCAGATATATGAACAATGGGATAGTGTATTCTTTAATTTGACTTTTATTGTCCTAATGATGCTAGATAAACAATAAAACTGAGCCTGTAATAGTCTTCTGACAAAAATGACCACTAGTCCATTTCTTCCTACTTGACCATTCAAAATCACCTAATATGTAAAAAATGAGTTGAGAAACATAATTCACTGTCAAGGCATGAAAAATTATTTAGCAAAATAGTTTTTACAAAGACATTTTTTCACATTTACTGGCTGCTTTCTGCAGCAGTCACTATCCAACCACATGTCTGAAATATGCTACTTTTTTTTACTTTTTTTGCCTACCTTTTAAAGACACATGAATAATGTGGAGAAAATAGAAACAGGTTTTCCTGACTTGCCTGAAAACACAACTTAAACCTGTTTATATTTTCTCCACATTATTCATGTTGTCATGTTAAAAAATATGCAGTAGAAATATGAACTTTTTGTAAGGTTCAAGGTGAACTTGTTAAAGATAGCACAACTTGTTTTGAATCTCAGACTTTACAAACTATTTTTTTAGAGACCTTGTTATCATTTGTGACATTTGTAAACTCTCATTTAAGTCAGATATGTTTATAAAAGGATTTTAGTAAATAAACAGAATTAAGACACTGAAGGTAATTCTCTTGTATAAATTATTGGGATTAATTTACATTCTATAGGGAAAACACAAATGTGAATTTTGACACCATTTCGTGACAAGGAAATAAAGAAAAGACATTCTTTAAGATAAGATGTTTCAAAGATATTGACATCAATTGAAATATTAAATTTGCCTTTAATAACTTGAATATCAAGGATAAAGTAATTTTAAATTTCAATATAAAGGTAAAATATATGTCTTTACTTTGGTTTCAGATATCCAAAACACATGCATACCAGATGACAGGAATAGAAAAAATCCAGTGTCATCAAGCTGCTGTAATCTCTGTGTATGTGGACATTTGAATTTCTTCACAGCAGACAATGAGATCTAATATATAAATCTGCTTCGAGGCACAGAAAGGACTTCTAATCAGCTGAGGCATCTATATATGACACCTTCATTACTTGAGAGATGTCATTAAACTTGCTGGGGACAAACTTAAATGCATGCCTTGAGTTACATTTACAATTTGCACCAAGAAAATTGTAGCTAAATTTTAATAGTACATTCTTCTGGTTACAAACTCTGGTTACAAACTATATCTGCAAAACTGTGCAAATGACAATGGCAGAAAGAAAACAAGTCCCCGGCTCTCTTGTCATTTGTATATCAAACTATCAGAACAGCATCTTGGAGATGATCATACAAAAAAATGTCTGAATTTCATCAAGCTCTTTAGCTCTTTAGATGTATACCGAAAAAACATATCAAAACTGAAGCCAGCTTCAATGACCATGATGTCTCATCCATGATAAGACGGCTTAATGTCTTTTCTCTGTACCTACATGTAGTCCAACAGCTGTGACTCAAGCAGGCATTTGTTGAAGGAAAGATAATGTATGCTGGCTAGGAAAATTATTCACGAACCGGAGATCTTTAATGAAAGGTGTCAGACAGAGTGGACATTGTGGGCCAGTGAGTGGACAAAGGCAGTAAGGGGTTAAGTAACAACAGTCATTTTTCAGCAACACTGATATTCATCTTGACCCAGCCTTCATGACATGTATCACTAATTATCAAAGCCTCATGCCATGAAAAGGAAAGAAAAGACTTAATGGGATTACAAAANTGGCTAGGAAAATTATTCACGAACCGGAGATCTTTAATGAAAGGTGTCAGACAGAGTGGACATTGTGGGCCAGTGAGAGGACAAAGGCAGTAAGGGATTAAGTAACAACAGTCATTTTTCAGCAACACTGATATTCATCTTGACCCAGCCTTCATGACATGTATCACTAATTATCAAAGCCTCATGCCATGAAAAGGAAAGAAAAAGACTTAATGGGATTACAAAGGGATCGTAATAATTTAAGTGTGGTGTTTTAATTCCTGTTAATATACATATTTAAGACTACTGAATGGACAATTAAGGAAGATAAAGGGTCCTACAAAACAGGAAAACACAGCATAAGTGACTAACAACACAAGCACAGGTGACCTGCAACAGTTTCAACTACCTGTGTTATAATACAGCATTTAATGGAGAGGAAGGGGGTATGATTTCTGAAACTGATGCCTCAGGACATCAGCCAAGACTGACAGGTGAAAATAAGCATACGACAACAGAATAATTGTCCAATACACAAGGGATTATATAAACTAGCTTTGAAGACACAGTTAAGTTACACCTGAGGGGACATGCTAAGTGAGCCAGTTGATTACAGCACGCTTGGATATAAACTACAGTGGACCTCTCAGTGGGAGAAATCCGAGTACTAAGGGAGACTGCTAGGACAAAGCTGTATCCTGACTACAGTTTTCATTGCCTGCTGGTACAATAGCCTTTACTTTTTATATTGGACGGCAAGCACTATAGCCATTATCATGGATTACCTTTATATTGAAAGAAACAAGACATTGCTTTGGAGTACTAGTTAAAACATAAACTGAACCTAAACTCAGGATAGAGACTCGTCAAGGTACACATTTTCTTCAACAACTTACTTAAATTCCTATTAAGGGATTTCTTACCGCAAATATCTTGAGGTATAGAGAGGATTTATAGACTTGCCTAAAACACCCACTGTCATCTGACAGCCACAACACTACTTGTCAAGGTTGAAAATAATAGCTGGGAATACTTTCAACTGGATACCAAGCACCATGAAAACCTTGTGGACTTGGATTAGCCTTTTACCTACTATTATTATTATTATCACTATTGTACTAAATAGTGCAGGGACAACTGAAAGTGCCCTTCTCTGTCCCAAAGAATGCCAGTGTGTGGACACCTCAATATCCTGTGCTTATTTCAATGTGTTCCCAGGGGTGTTGCTCATGAGTGAAGATGCTGCGTCAGCTGTCACAAGCTTGGAGGTGACATGTGACACAAGTGTCAGGTACCTTTTGAACCTGACAAGTTCAGAATTTGCAAAATTTACGAAGCTGGAGAGTCTCAGAATTAAGACCCAAGGTTTGTGTGCTTTGAATGATGTCGGGAACAATTTGTTTGTTACAATGACAAATCTGATATTTTTGGAAATCAAAGCAAATGACACCAGCCAAGTCCAAACAAAATTTCACCCCAGCACTTTTGCTGGCTTGACAGCTCTTGAAAAAATGAGATTCATCCTACCCAGATTCCAGTATCGTTATATTCCACCCTTCATGAAAGATCCCACAACTTTTCCCTTTTGGCCCTGGGGAGATGTGGAATTCCCAAAACTTCACACATTAGAACTAGCTGTGAACACAGGACACGGGGACCAGGAGTTGTGCAACAACCTCTTCAAACCATTCACCAGGGTAAAACAAGTTGTCCTCAGATTACCAGAAATGAACCTAAAACTGGGATGTCTGGAGAACATACAAAACTTGACCATATGGAATGCTGATAATTACCTAGTGACTGTGGTGAATTTTTATCTGAATTCCATACCATCCAAGGATTTCAGTTCTCTGACAATATCTAAGGTTTGGAGATGGCAGTTTGGGGGTACTTCCTACCAGCCTAAACATCTATTAAAACGCCTCCGCTTACATATTGGTGACTTCATACGCATGCCTGAATATGTCAAAAGGATGAAAACATTGACACATCTTGAGTTTACCCAGCAGAGTTATGAAGATATGACGCACCATGACTTCCTCTCCCTTACAAACCTAGAATATCTTGATCTCAGTTATAACTCTGTAAGGATAAACAAAAGGCCAAATATGAAGCCCATCTTTGACCAGAACAAAACAGCTTTGGAATATATTGATTTAAGTTACAACTACCTGGGAGGACTTGATGAAAACCTACTTAAAAGTCCACCTTCTCTGAAATATGTCAATTTAAGCCATAACCTCATAAACACAGCTGACTTGGGGGTTTTACAAGGCAGTCCAATCAAGGAACTAAATCTTGCTTTCAATAATATTGACACACTGACAATTAGTGGTACCATAAACTTGAATACATTAACAATCCTGAATTTGAAAAGGAACCGTGTACAAGCACTGCCAGTTAACCTGTTCAGAAGCGCACCAAATATCAGGTACCTTAACTTGGCCAACAATATATTTCAGACTGTCCCTGTAAACATCACAATGTTGGAAAGTTTAGAATATCTCAATTTGAGGGATAATCCACTCACTACGTTTGACTCACACAATTTGGTTCAATTATCCATAGTAAGTCTACAAAAACTCCACCTGCCTCTCAAAAATGTGCACTTTCTAAAATATCTCTCTGGTGAGGAGAGCAAGACCCTGGAGATATATCTCCATGGAGACAACCTGGATTGTTCCAAATGTGAGAGTGTCATGGCAACCTATGCAATATTTAAATTTGGCTATCTCAAGACACAAAATGTGTACTGCAGAAATATATCATCTTCCTCTCCTGCAGCAGGAAGAGATATTCTAGCAGCTGGATTTGATACTAAAGAGCTTGGGTGCATCAACTATCAGAGTTGCTTTAGTTCATGTAACTGTTACTGGCATCAGATGAAGGGACAAGTCTTCCGTGTTGCCAACTGCAGTGACAGTTTCTTAACAAGCCTTCCCAGAAATTTCCCCAATGATACTACAGTGTTAGAAGTTCAGCGAAACCAGCTTGAACGTTTCCCCAATATTGCTCTGCCAAACCTCTGGATTCTTTCCCTGAAGGACAACAGCATTACGGAAATCAAAAATGAAAGCTTGCAACATGTTCCCAACCTGCGTTATCTGAGCTTAGAAGGCAATGGAATTACTCATATCCCAGAGGGGTTCTTCAACCACACCCCTCATATGATCACGGCTAATCTGACAGGCAACCCAATAAAGTGTGACTGCAGTCAGAGATGGATAAAAGACTGGATGCTTCAACAAGAGAAAAATGACAGAACAATATTTGTGGAGGCATTCTGCAGCAATAGTTCTGGTACAGCAATCAACATAAAAGATTTTGATTTTGAGGAAGCCTGTGTCCCTCAAGCTCTTAAATATATCAAGACATTTGACTACGTGACTTTGCTAGTTGTTTTAGTATTGCTGATAATAGTTGCTATACTGATTCTCTTGATTTATATCTGCCGTAAAGAGCTCCAAGTATGGATCATTAATAGAGGGTGGTGGAAGGCAAACGTACTGACAAACTCAGCACAAAGGACATATAAGTATGATGCCTACATAGCATACTGTGACAACAACTATTCAATAATTCGTGATCATTTCATTCCTCGTCTTGAGCAAAAACATGGCTACAGACTTTTCATACGAGACCGGGATTCCGAAGCAGGCCAACCAATTGCAGAAAATGTTGCTAATGCAATCAGTAAAAGTTATTGCACCATAGCATTGTTAAGTAACTCTGCTATGGAGAGTGAGTGGTTTCCAGTGGAGTTTGAATTAACTCACAGTTTATCTGTAGAGGACAAAAGTCGCCGTCTAGTCATTGTGAAGGTGGGGCATCTTAGTAAAGAGGCCCTGAAAACACAGAAAAGTATCCAGTTGTACCTAACCACCAAGACGTATCTAAGTTGGACTGATCCCGATTTCTGGGATAAAATGCATAAAATATTGCCAGACAAACCCCACCCTGTATTCATGGGTAACGAGGCTTACACAGAAGACACCCCAGACAATGGAGTTCATAGAGAAAATGATTATGTTCAAAGAGAGGGCCCGTATGTTGCTGCTAATGTTGACATTACTGTTGATGATGATTTCACAGATGATGACGATGTACACAGTGATCATTCATTTGATACATACTGTAGTGGAGACAACATACCAGGCCATGCTGTTGTCAATGACAATTATTATGTTAGTGACAATGATCAAGCACATGGCAATAATTATGATCATGATGCAGAGAGTGACAAAAGCAGCACAGCAGCTGATGTGGAGAATAATTTGTTTAATGCTGAAACTGAAACAACAGATGTCAGTGTTAACAACCTAGACAAAGCTTACGACACCCATGTCCACGCAGATGCTCAACCTCAAAACGTCACCACTGAACTTGAACCCGCAACAGACATCCTCAGCAACAGCGACAGTGACAATACAAAATATGACAATGACAAAGATCCACAGACATTACAAGATGACAGAAAATCCATGAATGATTCCCCTAGTGGGAGTGAAAAAAGTGACAGTCAGGAAGAATCAGAGACTCCTGAGTCTAGTCTGACTGGATCACCGGTGGTTGAAAAAGACTCCCTTGGTGTTGGCACACCGTCAGGCAAACTAAGTGATAAAGAAAGTGACAGATACAGCTCACTTTCCTCCCTTAGTCTAAGCCTTGATCTTGATGAGAGCTTCTCTCAGTTACAGGTTGGTAACAACCTGGACAATTCTGGAGATGTAAATGGCATTAACAGCAATGGAAATACTCAGATAGACAACAGTACACACTTAACCCTAAATGGGCTTAGCAGTGCAAACTATCAAGACAAAGACAATGGTAATGACATTCGAGAACAGACTGACATGACTCATGGTAAAATGGAACAAGAAATGACCAATTCAACAAGACATTTAACCAACAATATAATAACTAAACCAGTTGCTGCTCCCAGATCACTGAATGGCAATGTGTCGCCCATAAGAACAGAAGACAACAGTGTCAGTCTCGGGGTTGATTACAGAGAAGATGCTATAGAGGTGTAGCATGCACAGATTCCATTATATAAAAGTATAGGGTGGGGCAGGAGTAACCTGCAATCTGTGGCCTTGTTATAGTGGGCACTGGGTGCACTATCTTTGTTACAGTTGCTACAAAAGTTCATGTTATTTAAGTTTTTCCAATGCGATTGTTAAATGGGAGAGACACATTGCCAGTTTGGAAAGCGATTGTATCATCTCTGGTTTCCATTTAATGCTCTGGTGGTAAAACATGAAACCTGTCATTAAGTAAATTTGTAAAATGACAGAAAGCAAGGCCATACCTTATGGCTTTCTTCAAAGGGATTCAAATGACACTATTCACTATATTCATCATTTAAACAATATCCCCATTTTTACATTGTCATTATATATTTCATTCAATTATATATTAGTTTTTATCAAAATAGAAGCAAAATAAAGTTATTAATTAAATAACAAAGAGATCTAATAAAACATTTTTAACATGTCATGTAATGCAAGTCCACTTTGTTTGTCATTCAAATAGGTGCTGATTAAATTAGTATAATATAATTTTATTGTCATGTTTTATCCATCATTAAATGGCAATTTGAAATGAATTTCAATTTAATGACTAATAAATCATGATATGTTAGGTATAGGTAAGAAACAAAATGTTTAAAGGAAATGTAACCAAACTATGAATTAAAACAGTCCTAACATTAACAGGAATTTACATTGTGAGTTATAATCAAGGATGTATTTGTAAGTCATACTTGTAATG